GACGCTGCTGAAATCTGAAATTGATTATCGGAATTGGTATTGGTGAATAAGGATTTTACTCATCTTCTAATCGGTCAGATTGGATTAGGTATGTGTGATTCCTGAGAAATCGTTCAGTGTGGCGAGTAGTCCAGTAAATAAAGGGCGGAAAATCCTGGAACCATGACATCGAATCAGATATATCAGGAACTTCTTTCTTTTTAACTTGTCGGTATTCATGGGTATACTAATTTTGGAAAAAATGTCCACCGGGAAATCACCAGAAGGATGGGAAAATGGCCAATGATCCCGAAAATCCGTTTTTGACCGATATCTGCGGAGATATGACACTTATTAGAGAAGTGGGGTTTGACTTGAGATGGAGAGCAGTTCTTTAGCTACAACAATTGTTCTTTATTGTTGTTTTTTAACGCTGCACCAATATTTCTTGCAAAAAAAATTGCAAAAATCCTATATTTTTTAAATTTAAAAAAGAAAAAGACGTTGTTATAAAAATATATAAAAATCATTCATTGATTCTTTCGGAATATATTCACCATTTAACAAAGCCCCATTATCGAAAAGGATTCGGTGAAACTACTCTTGATTAAAGAGAAATTGATGGATTGAAATGCTGGGTCAAATATCTAGTAAAAACCATTATTCCAGAAAGATAAAAAAGGAAGGAGTAATACGATATTGGAGCTACAAGACCCTTCTCCCATATGAACTTTGAATCATGAGGAAAGATCAATTTTAATCCAAGTTTTGTACGCCCGCTCATGCCTATACTTTGTGATTTCGAGATTGGGGCACTAAATAACATGGATGATAGGAGACGAGGAAACAAAACGAATTGAAAGACTGCATTTTTGTGAGAAAACAAATATTTTTGAAGATATTTAGCTACAAAGTTTGGCTGACATTTTTGTGAATCATCGATCAGAGGCTAATAGCCCAACCCAAGCGTTTTCTTTCGGCAAGATCACAAGGACCAGAAGTATTAATAACTTTTGCAACGTTGTCGGACATTCAATAATAGTTGAAAGATGAAGTATGGTGGAAACGCACAATTTTTGAAAAAACAAATCCAAACAATTGTTTTCTTGCGATTTATCGTGTCATTAAGACCCTGTATTCACGGAGCGTGCAGCTCGAAATCCAGGCTACGCTTGGGCCCGTTTATCTCGGAAATGAAATGTACTCACTAAAATTGAAATCACGAGTCCAATCTGGATCAGTAACGTGCGTAAGAAAATTGCAATCTTAGAACATTTTGTTGCATTTTCAACGAATTTTGTCAAAGAATACAATTTAAGCGAAACATTAGCAAAATTAACATGTTTTCGAACGTATATGCTTATTTATCTCAAAAAACAGTTCGTTTCTCGAAAAAAATTGAAAGGCAAAAATAGCCTCTAAATTGAACGATCCACACAATTTGATCACTGAAAGATGCCAGAGGCGTACTACGAAAAAGTTTGAAGGGGATAAAGAAGCCTCTACCTCCAAAAACGTATCACCCTGTAGATTTTGAAAATCTTCAAAATGCTTGAAATGATGATCTTTTCAAAATGATATCTTGAAAAGTAAGCGAGATATTTCAATTAATAGAAAAAAATAATTAAACTTTGACCCCCTGTAGCTCCGTTACTGAACGAGATCGCACTAATGTTTATGGAAACTTTTTTGATTAAAATGATGAAATCTATCTCACATTTCAGTTTGTGCCTTAAAACCTGAATCACCCTGTATATATACAGGGTGGTCCGTTTTTCAATACAGAAAATTCAACAGCGTATAGTACTCGTTGAAATAATAAAAAAACTTCCTATATACATATACGTTTAAACGCTTCGTTTTTGAGATATTGGGTGTCAAAAATACGCTTCTGAATATATTTTTTCAATCAATAGTTAGAAACGGTAGATAAATTAACAAAATTTTTCACAGATACTACACTTCTTGAGCTTTATTTGATTAAATAAAAATTATTCATAAAAACTATTCAGTGGCGGCTGAATCTGGGGTGGCGAAGGTTATAATTACACAAATTTTTCGGGTGATTATTTCTCATTTATTTTTCAAGTTTCAATGAAGAAAGCTCGCTTTGGAGATTCCATAAAATCTTTTAGTTAAATAATACTACTTGATATCAATTAAAGAAGTAAACTGGAGTTATTCCGTGTTTTTATCAAAAAGTGTAATAATTTTATTCCAATTTTGCCGTTTGTCAGTATGCCTATGGGATTTAGTACTGAAGAGTATGCAGATATTCATCCCGTTTACGGATTTTGTAATGGAAACGCAGAGGCAGCAGTTCGGGAATACAGAAATCGCTTTCCTAGGAGAAGGGTACCTAATGCAGGAGTCTTTATCAATACTCACTCACGTTTTCGTCAGTTTGGGTTACGTGGCAATAATGAACAATACCGAAATGATGACCCACTGAGAAGAAATGATAACAATCACATTCTTAGATTTTTTGATGTTAACCAACAAATCAGTTCTAGAATAGCAGCTCATCAGTTGCAGGTAATTTGTGAACTAATATCATGTCATGTTTGGTTTGGTGAACGGTTAATGCTAACTAGATTCAATGCATTACAATGTTTCTTTCATTGGGTTTAGAGGCATGCATAGGTTTGGTTTTTATTTTTCCTTCTGAAACGAAGCTATCAGATGAGAAACCTAAGAGGGCAAAAAAATTTTATTTTGAAATGCACGCCCCTGAAAATATGTAACTCATTCATGAACTGTAATAGGTCAAAAAATTTGCTCATGTGGATTTCATCACAATCGGTTATAGTATTTCTGAGAAATCAATAAATAATCGATTTTTTAAAGAAACTTGAACACCTTATATCTCGAAAGCGAAGCGTTTAAAAGTATATGTTCATAGGAAGTTTATTCATTATTTCAACGAGTACTATACGCTGTTGAATTTTCCGTATTAAAAAACGGACCATCCTGTATATTAGGTACTTCAAAACTCTCAAAGTTCCGTAGAGTTATCATTTGTCAATAAATAAAGGGACTCCAGCGACATATGAGGCAAATTCACGTAGTTTCGTCTACCAAATGCGGATTAAGCTATACTTATATATAGTCCGGGATGTTTCAGCGAGTAACTTCTCTACTGTAACCAATTTGTGCTTACCGGAAGGAGAGGCGTGAATAATTTAAATGTCAATTTGCAGCACCTTTGACCTCACAATCCCAATATTGCACAACAACGGAATTTGAATTGCCTCGGCAGACGTTTGGGTGATGATTAGGGGTATTAGGACGTCTGTTCAGCTAGCAAATACTACATAATATACTGTACGGATAGGTACGAGCAAACAAGAACTCTAACAAATTTGCAGCTATGAAAAATGAAGCTGGCTTTTGAAGTTCTATAGGCTTCATATCGTATAATAATACAAGTCATCTCCACAACGTTTAATATTATCAATCACCAAATCATCAATAGAAAGGAGGCATGTTTCGGATCTATAGAGTATCCTTCATCAGCCGGTTGAGAGAATCATTCAACAAAAAACAAACCAACAATAATAGGATATACTCAACGTGGAGCGGAAAAAAGTTTTTGAAATCACATGAAGTTACAAAATTTTTTATAATATTATGGAAATTTAAACTTGTGTTAATTTAACAGGTTTTCTAAAAAGGAGCCCTATGTCCCGATGAGATAGTGGAATCGCCACATAAAGACATCAAAAAATAAAAAAGTTAAAAAAAAAAATGAAAAAAACGTTATCATCCTGATCTCACTGGATTAACTTGATACCATGTGACCAAATGTCAATGTAAAACACAACTCTGACAGAAAACTGTAACTTCAGCTGTCAACGGTGATACAAGACAAGAGACAATTGGCTCCATGAAAATCATGACAAACTTGTGGATGGTGACATTAGAATATAAAGATAGTAGGGGAGACAACCCGAGGTTAACAATGCTATGAGAATTTTGAGAAGGTAACTCACACTGGGGACCAAAGCAAGAGGAAACAATAACACAAACATCAGAAACTCAAGGCATTGAGGAATTTTTGGCAATCGAAATTGATTTGTTCATTATTGAGTGAAAGAATATTTTTGTCCGTTAAAGATGAATTGATCTCGAAAATTTCCAACAGATTCAGCAAACTACCCTTCTGGCAAATATGTAACATTTCCAAATCAGTATTAATGTTGAATGCGTGTTTAGAGTTAAACACATGGTTAGCAAATGTACTTTTGGTATTGAAATCTTCGTCGGGCAGTTTCTGGGAAAGGAGTAAAATGGCCGGAGTATCGTCACGGAAGCGCGTACCTATATATGTCTGGTTGATATGAGACGGCCACTGCACCTGCACCTTCAGTATGCTAGTGAGCCTTGAGGCAGAGACAGTGTAGTCGTCAGCTCTGACCTGACATGCATCGAGGTCACGGATGGTCTATAATCATATTGTGTTCTCGCTCGAAGCACAAAAAATTCCTATACACATCATTCACATCAGTTATAATGCGCATCAGGGTGAGTTATGAATACTCCTTTACAAGATGCAATTTGAAATTTCCTATTTTTGAAATTCCTCCATCAATATTTTTAGCTCTAGTTCATCTTTCTCGCGAATACGTGGAAATATTACATGAAATTGATATTAATTCATTCAAATTTCCCCCATAATGTCCAAAAGATATTGGAGATACTGTCTGGCCACAGATGTCATGATGTCATCACTTTCGACGTGTGGTATTACGCACACGCGTTATTTTTGAAGTTATAAGTTCTATAGGCTCTTTGAGCACTTTATGGGATGGAAGTAGAACGGTGAACTCGCGTCACGGGTGTCGCATACCATAAGACCGGCATATGTTTATGTTGATATGCGACGGCGGCTGGGAATATGACTGCAAACTCGCGTCTCTCCCGGGTCACCGCATGAGGAAACCAAAGTATGATGGAATCCAGAGAAGTAAAGATAATGGTTTTCAGTAAAATAGTATGTGAAGTTTTTGGTATTTTTGATCATGACCCCGAGGAAGCCAGCGGTTTCTGCCAGATCACAAGGTAAAATACTTCATATTTGTGGACAAGGTCTCAAGAAGAAGAATGTTGCTGTGAAGTTTGTAATCGATTGTACACACCATATTGACGATATTATATTGGATGTGGTGAATTTTGAGAGCTACTTGGAGGCAAGGATCAATATCAACAAAAACCTGGTGATTTTGCTGCTGATGGAAAGAGAACTCAACATTCTGCTCCTGCGGCAACTAAAGTTGTTCTAGACTCAGAAATTCCATTTTCTAGTAGATATCTCATTGATATCTCATCAAAAAATATCTGAAGAAGAGTAAACCTTCGTGATTGGTTGAGAGTGATCGCCTCTGAAAAAAGATTCCTGTGCATTCAGAAGCTTTTAGATCAACAGTCAAGGATCGAGGAGATGACGTTGAGGAAGTCAATGAATAATGATGAAATATATAGAGTGTATCAAAATTCAGTTATAAGTTTCAGCTAATAAACTTATGTCCACGAGCGGTTCGTTACCGATCTACAGAGCGTTGAAGTTTCAGGTTTTATTTTTTGTTATCTTCTTAGCTCTCTCAATTTTTGAGATGTTCAGATCAATTCAATTTTTTCCTCAAGTTGACTTGGCCTTTTCTTGAAGAAATGCCTTAGTAGATGTGGAAACTTCACAAACGGTATGATTTCCACAAAATTCTTGAAAACACGACATTTCCACTTGGTGAAGCTACAGTGTAAGCAGAACGTCGCGTTTTTGAAAAATTGTTTATTTTAGTCTCATAAAATTCTAGTAGTTGTTACACCAAGTCGTTTTCCGAATATATAACTTGGCGCTGTGAATGAGGAAGTTTATGAAATATAAATATTTTCTTTCTGTTGAAAATAACACAGGAAGAATCAATGAACGATGGAAGTTTCCATAGAGTTTGATGTAAGTGTGATAGAAACGTTTTTATCTTAGGTGTTCTATATCACTGACTGAAATCTGAAACTTACCTTTGCAACTTTCAGAAGAACTGAAAATTAATTTATCACGTAGATGTGCTGAAACTTCTGGGATGAGAGCATTCCTGGTATTGATGATATCTGGAAGGAGTGTGCCTAATCCCATTAAACTTTTACACTTTGAGAACCGAATTTCTGGCCATACGGAAAATTGAATTTTCCTCTGCAGATTCTGAGAATGATCATGAAATAGTTTTGGTTGACGTATACATATTTGTTTTTCTCGTTGAATTCAGAAAGAGGTGGAAAACTCGAACATATGTACATACAGGGTGTTAGTGAATAAGTGGGACAAACTTCAGGAGTTGATTCTATGTGATATTTTAGCCAATAACAAAGTTCATAACCTAACTTGCTTCGTCTTGGAAATACAGAATGTTGAAAGTAAAGTGGGAGTATTAATTGTTTTCATTTATCACCTTCCTCTCTCATCTTTTTTGGTGCAGAAATTCAATCTGGTTGGAGTTGGAGACTGACAAAGCCACGAAATTTCGAAATGATTCTTATTGAGTAATCTCAATAGGTGTTTTGAGAGCTCTTACTTCAAAAACTGAGCGAGATACGGAAGTAGCACCATGGTAAGAACGTTGTATTAAATTACTTTTATTTCATCTCTTGGAGCGCACGAAAGGAAAAATTCCTATAATGTTCATGGAACATATCGTGGGATCAACTCCAGGAGCTCATTCGTCTTCGTCCGGCCTTTCCAGACACTCTTCGAGAGCTATTATTCGCCCTTCAAGAGGAATTTGACGCCACACTCACTCACACTTTGACATCATTGGAACACCGTAGAAAGGTCGGCGACCTTTCACTTTTCTATCGATACTTCCACGGGAAATGTTCTTCGGAAGTCTCTGCTATCATCCCTTCACTAGCAATACCAGTCAGACGAACTAGACAAGCCCAGTCAGCACATCCTTTGGTTGTCAACCTCGAAAGATGTCGAACAGCACTTTATCAAAACTCCTTCATCCATAGAACGGCTATAGGCTCTGGAATTCATTGCCTGAGGAAGTATTCCAAACAACATATAATCTCCAGAAGTTCAAAAGAACTCCAATACCTACCTCCTGTCCCTATCCTCCCTAGGAACGCACGATGTTCTTTGAACATTATAGGGATTACTTTTCGTGCGCTCCAAGCGATAAAAATAACTCGAATCCTCAAGACTGCTTCAGAAATTCGACTGCACAATGCCAAGCTGAAGAGAGATTCTCGTAACTCAAATTTGTTTCCTCTGGGTGCTGAGATGACGGGGTGAAAATAACCGATATTGAATTTCAAATGTTTTTCCAAGGTATTATTCGATAATTTAATGCATTGGTTCTGAAATATTGTTCATAAAAATTGAAAAATTCCATTCTTTCTCAAAACACTTGTATCTTTCCTTGGAAAGAAGATATCGATGTGAATCACATGCACCAATGAGTTGAATCGGTAAGAATTAGAAAAGTTACAGGGCGATCAATTTGGCAAATTTTGTTCTGGCCGGTTTTTAGAGATAATCTAATTTCAGGAATCAACCGCATAATTCTAATTCAACTTATCAATATTATATCTTGAAATAAGTCGCTCAAGTTCAATATAAATCTGTTCACCTGAAGCATAAAATATTAACAAAATATTTCTTGTACAGTCGTATTAAAAAAAAGCGTATATGCGTATATTACAGAGAGAAATTAATGTCATCCTATTAGCGTAAAACGGGCTATCGAGAATGCTATACACATTCGAAAATATTATTCACACGGTGTGATTCTATTGATGTTTTAAAATATAGGAGCTCACTTCAAGAAGAAAAGTTCAAATGAACATGTATGATCGAGACCTCTTAACTTTCGAGCTATAGGGTGTTGAAAATTAAAGAAGAAACATTTTAATCAAGGAAACTTCGATAATGTAAAGAACTTGTCAAAATAAGACCGCAACGTAATCGATCAAATGTTTTTATTTCACAATAAAAAATAGGTCAACAGCCTACTGTAGTTCAAAATAATTTCGTTGCATCACCAATCCATTGAAATGGTTTTTATCTTTCAACGCGAAAATAAATGAGGATTTCGAGAAAAAGCAAGGGCGTACAATATATATTTTAAAAACATCTCCTTTATACATTCCATACGGCCGCCATTGGTAGAAATTTCGAGAAATTTCCTCCATCAAAAAATGCTTATTGGTGTTTAGTAGGTGCATGCCGAATTTTAAGGAAATAACTACAACAGTATTGAAGTTATGATGAGAAACCGATTTTTGTTTCTAAAATCTGTTCATACGAACTTTTCTTCTCAAAACGAGCTAAGGAACCATATCCTATATTTTAAGCCATCAATCAAATTACTCCCTGTTAATGTACTATCAACACTACGATGAAAGTAATGGATGGCCAATATACTACAATTAGGGGGAAAGCTAACGATAATGTTCTCACAGCTTGGAAAAATTGACGTAGCAGGCGGATATCCAAAATGTTTTCGACGGCCAAACACCCTTTATCCCATAACTATAACTGTGATGATATTGTTATTTTCGTCAACCAAAGAAGGGAAGATTTGTATTTCGTGCAAAATAATTTATTCAATATTCGTAGCAGAGCGCTTTCGACTGTTAAGTCATTATCAGTGCGTACCTGTAAGTAAGTAGTCTGCTTCTAGCTAATCGAAAAAAATTGATATTGAAAATTCGAAAATAAAAATATTTTTTTTGAAACAAGTTTTGAAAAAATATTTTTTTAAAAAATTTTGGTTGTTATTTTTGTATCTATAAGTGCTTGAAATCCTACTTTGGTGGTGAAAATAGTGCAGGGTGTATCTAAATAGCGCCTACAAAATTCAAGGGCTGATTCCTTGTGATATTCTAGCAAATAAAGTTCATATAAGCGAACATGTGTCCCAACTTGCTCCGTTTTTTGAGATACATGATGTTGAAGTTGAAAGAATCAATTGTTTTTATTTCTAACCCCCCTGTATAAGCTTTCATGGTGCCAAAATTCAGTTAGGTTGGAGACCGAGAAAGACCAAAAATTTTGAAATTATTGTAATTGGGGTTAATGAGTAAACTCAGTGGAAGTCTTGAAAGCACGTAGAGGGTGATTCACCATAAATGCCCCCCCCCTCTAGCTCACTAATTTTTAAACCGATTTGAAAATTTGAAGAATCATCCAAAATGATTTTTCAAAAATTTTTTTCCTGTTGCATCAGAAAATACAGGGTGCTCGGAACAAACGATCTACAAAGTACTACTTGATTTTTTCGAATGAAACACCCTGTATTCCATTATATTTCCAGGTAGTCCCTGAATGGCTGATTTCATCAATGTATCACACTTGGGGTCTAGCAGGAATGATCACAGAGATATAGGGTGTTCAAAATCGAGATTTTTCAACTTTAGGAATTTTTTGTGTTGAAACTATTCATTATTCGTCAAATCGGCTCAAATGTCCCTATCTAAACTTCTGATTTACTATCTACTGACATTCAATTGGAAAAAATACAGTGTGGTTCAAGGTTCAGAATTCTGATCACCCTGTATCTGTTCCAATTATCAAATATCAGTAGATAGTGAATCAAAAGTTGAAATACGGACATGACCGATAATGAATAGTTTCGTCACATAAAAAACCTAAAGTTGAAAAATCTCGATTTTGAACACCCTATATCTCTGTAATCATTTTCGCTAGTCCCTGAGTGTGATACATTGATGAAATCAACTTTTCAGGGAGAATCTGAAAATATAATGGAAAATAGGGTGTTCCATTAAATAAAATCAAATAGTACCCTGTAGATCGTTTTGTTCCGAGCACCTTGTATTTTTTGAAGTAGCCGAAATAAACTCTATCGAAAATCATTTCAGATTATATCTCAAATTTTGAGATCGGTTCAAAAATAACTGAGCTAGAGGGGGGGGGACATTTATGGCGAATCACCCTGAAAATTAAATTTGAAGTCAAATCGAATTTTTATAGTTTCCCTTAAAACTGAGCTATATACACAGGGGATAAAAACGTTGTCATTCGATTAGTTCAATCTAATAAAAATATGAAACTCAGAAAAACCGGTGGCGTACAATGACATTCTCCATAAATATCGATAAATGTACTCACTGTGACGCCACTGGAAATATTTTATCGAGTCTAATTGCTCTAGAAGCTCCACATTACTATTAACAAAACCACAACGTTTTGTTGAAATTGATGAGGAGACAATTGGGGACAATAAAGGTTGAAATACAAAAATCTTACTAAGTTTACATGCAG